GCGATTAAATATGATATTGTCTGTGAGAATAAAATAAAGGAGCACTTTAGGACGAAATCTTGTAACTTATTGTAAGGTTTTAGAAAATGTTATTTCACGATATTTTTTTTATCTTCTTACACAATTACTTCTATAGAACAGGTCCACCAAATAACGAAGTTTCCGTCGGAATAAGGCGAGCAAGAGAATAACAAAAAAGTGCACGACGAATCACTCGCTGTGCTCTAAAATTCTAAATTAGTTCCGCTCATGCTGTTACGTTACACAGGTTAAGCGCACAACACTCGCGCTCGTTCAAAAAACAAGAACGCGACTCGTGGTCTTGTTGTTAAGCTGTTCACAACTGAAAATGTTTTTTAAAAACAACAGGCGCTGTTAAATTAAGAATAACAAAGTTAAACAAATGCGCATCGCCGAGCCTCGGCCCAAGTTGAGGTACTCGGATAAAGCGGCGGTTTACTCGGAATTGCCGTTAAGTATGTGGTGGGGAAATAAAAAGGGGGCAAAGAGGCTTAAGGGGGCTTTGCGCGACTCTGAGAGGCAAGTTTCAGAGTTATGCTTCTTTGTGTGTTTGCTCACGTGCCATTTGCGAGGTGATTAAGTGAGGGATTACGAGTTTATGAGAGATTATTTGTATTACTGAAGTGGATCCGTAACGGATATTTTTGTTTGTGTTTTGTCTTTGTGTTTGTTGCGTTAAAAGTTCGCACCGCGCGCCGGCCCGCGCCGGCCGCCAATATTTTACTGCGAGTTTACAATCGTGAGAAGGGATCTTATACAGACATATTGTTCGTAAGTCGCTCCTAGAAGACTGTAAATAAAGAATAACGTATTTCAAATGAATTTTGAATTTTCCACATGCCAGCGCAGTTTGTGGATATGCATTACGCCCCGAGTCTGAAAATATTTTACAAATATTTTGCTCGAGTTGTGAAAACCATTTGTCATGCCTGCTTCTAAGTCACTTACATGTGAGGTATGGTAGAGAGCAATTTGTTGCAATTTATTGTTGTGTTGGACAACTGCTCGCAGGTGCATTTTAGTACAACTTACTATATTATTCCCTTGCTGAACGCGAATTTAAACTCTCAAACTCTCAAGCCTTTATAAAAATTGATAATACTTAAGACATGGGCCATACATATTTCTGTTACCGGATCCACTGAAAAAGATCGACGTAGAACCTTCAGTGAGATGGACTGAGTGGATGACTTATTCTGTAACGGCACAGCGCACACTCTGCCAGTTTTCTTAATTATTATTCGTAACTTTAATTATTAAATTAAGTTTTCTACCGTTTTATTTTTCTTTTTTTCTTTTCTTCCATTCTCGTAAATTGTTAAATAGTTTGTATTGAGTCATGCTGTGGTTTCAATTTTGCTTTATGGTCTAATTAAATTAATATATGCTAATTTTATGGTCGCGAACTGTTATATATTTTTTTAGTAATGTAATGTGTGTATACTGTGTTTTATACAGAATAAATTATTTCTATCTATCTATTAATCTAAAAATGTCACTATAACGGTGACAGTGAAATGTTAAACAATATCGTTTACCATCAGCTTACACGCATCCACTGCTGGACACAAGCCTCACCTAGAGCACGCCAACGGATTGAGAGGACCAGCACATGATCTAATAAAATCATACCTAGAGAATCGCCAACAAGAGACACATATTACATACATGGACAAAAACACGGAGAAAGTAGCCAAATCAAATATTAGAACTGTAGAGCGCGGTATACCGCAGGGCAGTATTTTAGGGCCACTATTATTTATTCTCTATATTAACGACTTGCCAGACCATGTTCAACAAAAGATGATACTTTTTGCTGACGATTCCTCTGTGGTTGTGAGATGCGCTAATATTGATGAATATGAATCAACTGTAAATGATGCACTAAGTGACACTATAAAATGGCTACAATTAAATAATCTCGTAGTAAATTTGGACAAGACTAAGTTTATGCAATTCTACATGCCACAATCACGACCAAAAAATTTAACTATAACCTACAATGCACAAAATATAGCTCAGGTTGATGAAACAAATTTCTTGGGCCTTACTCTTGATAATCACTTGAGCTGGAAGTCACATATAAATAAGTTAAATACTAAACTTAGTAAATACGTATACGTCCTGAAAAATCTAACGAGAATAACGTCACAAAAAACTGCTCTTTGTGCTTATCACGCCTATATAGCCTCTAGTTTGCGATATGGTCTGCTGCTTTGGGGGAACGCTGCTGCAACACATATTACACCACTGTTTAAAACCCAGAAGAAATGTGTTAGGGCCATGTTTGGTGTGAGCCAGCGAGAAAGCTGGGTACCCTATTTTAGAAAACTAAAGATTTTAACCCTACCATCTATGTATATTTACGAGGCCTGTGTTTATACAAAACAAAATCCCGGCAACTTTAATCTAGTGAAAACCAGACATCCCAGGAAAACAAGGAACAAAATAGAAATACGGCCAAAACAACGCCCCACCTTGGAATTTTACAATGGAACGATGTTTATATTGGCACCTAAATTATTTAATAAAATACCAGATGCAGTTAAAGAGCTAAATTGTAGGCAATTTAAAATAAAATTACATAATTTGTTAGTTACACAATGCTACTACAATATAAATGATTTTTTAATAGATAACATAAAATGTAAAATTTAACCACTGTGCGCGATTGAAATAAGAATAGTGTAAAATATTCGCATGCCAAGTTTTGGTGAAATGTACGATCTAATAATAATATACTATAACACCATTATAAACTGCATTTTTCAGCGAATAAATATCTTGTGTTCTTGTATTCAACTTTCTCGATCTTGTGCCGCTCGCATCCACCTTGCTCAGGTCGTCCGTCCACCTTGCCGCAGGGCGTCCCACACTACGTTTTCCAGAACAAGTCTGCTCCATCGGCGATCAACCCTCCTGCAGACATGCCTGGCCACTCTCTGCCATTTAAGCTTGCTGATTTTGCGAGCTATTTCGGTCACTTTAGTTGTCTGACGTATGACCTCGTTAGAGATTCGGTCCATCAGAGAAACCCCAAGCATAGTTCACTCCACCGCACGCTGAGCGACCTGGAATTTGTGGACGAGGCCTGTTGTTAATGTCCATGTCTCGGCTACGTAGGCAATAACTGGTAGAACGAACTGGTTGCCTTAGTTTTTAGGCTTTGTGGGATTGACGACCTGAAGATGTGGCTAAGCTTCCCAAATGCCGCCCAGCCCAATAATATTGTATTGATACATAATTACACATTTATACTTAGCCGTTACTGTATTGATTCAGTAATGTTATTGAATACCTCCTACGTACCGCAATCCATTCTTCCAAATGACAGGTTCGAAATTGTCAAAATAATATTTATGTATTATTTTTTCACAAAATTACTATCATTTTCATCAATTTCTCCATCACTTTACACCGAAATTCCAAGTAGCTATCTATCACAACCAGTACATGCCAACCTACTTAATTATAATGTGAGCGGCCAGTACTAAAGTAGAGACTAGAATTAATAGAGACCGTGGTCCAGCAGCACCACTTTATCGTCCCCTCGCCCCGGAACTACGCTAGATAAATTATGACGCCACTTAATCACAAATTCGCCATTCCTGTTAATAGTGCCGGGTGCATTGATTTATGTTTGTGCGCTCCATTTAAATCAGACTTTATTACGAAAGGTCAAGGTGGATTTCTGGATTAATGAATGTAGTGACCTAATTCAGACAGACTTCGGAGTTTTGTAGCAGCTGAACGATTTATATTCACAGATAGATTCCATTTAAAAGATCGTGCTTCAGTTTAACTTTTGACTAAAAATTCTAACTCACATCTTACGTGGAAGTACAAAAGATAAATAAAAGAAGATAAAGGAGTCAATTCCTGCAAATCTGCAAACGTTTCGAAGGAGAAGTCACAGCGCCCATGTAAAATAAAAATCGTGCGCCTCACGATCGGATCAGAGTACACAAAAGCAGATAACGTCTGAGCAAAGTTGAGAACTCTCATAAAATATGCAAGGTATTGACTGTTGCGCACTGCGGCAACGGGACACGGCCGTCTGCGGCGTTGGATTTAACGCCGCCGTGACTTTGTCAAAGCAAACAGCGATGCGTGGCCCACCCTCCGACCACTAGTTAAACTTCATGTAAAATTGTGTTTGTCCCAAGTTTTAATAAGTGGGTGCTCGTTGACGAGAAGCCTTGAACCCTCCACTGATATTTCAGTTAACAACAAAGTGTCCACTTCCGCTGAAAGCAGGGTTTTTCATGCATGTATGCTTCAATTTTATATTTTCCGGTCCAAATTTACGCGTTTTCGGTGCATATAAAATTTCTTTGTGAAATATCGAAACCGATCACAGTTATATCCTTCCATGAAACTTCGGCCTGATTTTATTCCTGATCTGTATTTGATCCTCCGCGAATTTCAATACATTACTCGTATTCTGTTCTTTGTTCCGAAGCCACATACAAGAACATACCTCTGGTTTACATAAAATCGATAACAGTAAAGTAAACCCACCCATAATGGGACGGTACAGTATGTGGTTGGAATTCAATTTCCGATACGCTAAAGCTAAATTCATACTAGAGTTCAGTAAGTCCAATAATTTAAGTCCGCAGACATAAATATTAGAAGACGGCAACAAGAACAAAGTTACTATTTTAGGTATGAAATTTTATGTGCTAGGTGTATAAATAAACGAGGATCGAGAGGAAATGAAAATAAATTATGATCTTGGGTATCGTATCTACTAATGGGGGAGATAAATAATAACGCACCGGCTATCTCCCGCGAGGATTCGGGAGAGCCATTTGCAATAACCTTTTAGGCAAAAATACTATGACTTGAGAACTCCGTTTACGACCTGGTGTATTATAGACATATTTCATATATATAATATCTAAGTTTTTTTATTTCTTTCAATGACGATAAATTTTCATGCAATCGGAATCATATTACTGTGTTTTGTCCATCAGGTGGCGTGGATCCATATCGATCGGCAGATGATCCTAACGATCCACCGGCACGTTATTACGCGACTGGCACGCTTTAGCGTCTCTCACGACAACGCCATGACGTGGCTGCTGCACGTTAGCCAGGTGCAGCAGGAGGACCGCGGCTACTATATGTGCCAGGTCAACACCAATCCGATGATTAGCCAAGTTGGATACCTACAAGTTGTTGGTAAGCTTTTTTTTGTGAAAATTTTAAACTTATTAAAATGTTGTGCAATGTGTATGTGGTACAATTATTTTCTTAATATCTCTCGGAACCTTCGTGTTTCGTCTGTCGTTGGGTTTCTGTCAGTTGCTCTTTGCGCTTGGTGCAGCCTGGACGCACTTAATCGACTAGTAAGTGATGGAAGTCGATTAAGTGTGTCCAGTATCAACAACCCCAAGCAGCATGCCCATATCTAAATATTTAATAGAATAAGATATCTAATATAATTTAATTCGATTGAGTATTTTAAGAGTTTAAATTCCCTCAAGATATCTCGAAGAAGGTTTCTAGATAATTTAAAGTAAAAGTGGGCACAACTTTATTAGTAGATCACAAGAGTGCTTTGAGAAAATATTTGTAGGTAGTGTTAAGAGTGATTCTTATCTTTTTTCTCAAGTAACCCTTCTAAAATACTATAAGACCATTTGTAGAATGTAGGCAGTTTTTATTTAGTCTTGTAGATAGTTTTTAGATAATTTATAATCTATGATAGTTTTCTTAGTAATGCTATTTTAAAACCAAAATGCTAAATCGTTACAAACATAGGATGCAATTATCTTAATACTAATAGATTTCAAGTTTAATGGCTTACAAAATATAAACTATCAAAATTGCAACAAGGCGAAATTAGATATAATATTTCTGACTTTTTCGCGCAATGTTTAATCGGTTAGAAAACGCAAATTGACGTGCGACTTTAAATACATTGTGAAAAGTGATGTAAAACCTGTCATAAAAGTAATGCGCTTGCTAAATTTTAAATATTTATGTATAAACTATAAACTTAATGAAAATACAACTATCGATTTTCGGTTTTAAATATTTATAGAAAACTTAAATATACAAAATAACTCACAAAACAAACCATTTCCAAGAAGTTCTAGGCTTCTTCAAGCTAATTTCAACTTAGATTTACTTTTTTAAAAGAAAAGAAATTTTTCTCGGATACTTCATAGTCATTCTTTAAAAATAAAAATGGCATTTTGTGTATGGCTTTATCTATAGAAATTTTATTATTTTTACTTGCTTTAGTGTAGTTGATCTTGTAGAAGAATATTCCCTCCTATGAAGCTTTTATGATTGTCTACAAAACGCGATGTTTCTAAGCGATTTTTTCTTCCATAGTGAGCGTATTATGCAATAAAAAACTTTTCAAAACACCAGGTCAAAAAAATTAATTTAAAAAATCCAATTTGTCGCAAAAAAACGTTATTCTGTATAATGTATAATTATATGGAATGTGTTATATATGAGTAGAAAGGTGGATAAATTCCCTGTCATATAAATATAAGGAATATTTTAATGACATACCTAACTTATGTTGGAAGAAATAAAATTTTCATTACAAAATTGAGGTTATTTCTTCACGCCAACCACATTTCAAACAATGATTTCAATGTATTCTATTGACAGACGGCACAACACACATACACGACATTGAAGTACAGTAGTTTACGTGCTCATTTCAGTTGTTGTTATCACTTCTTATTTATTTGTCGACAAACATGACCGACCATGACCGGCTCAAGCACTAATTACGACTATTGTATCCAGGGTTGCCAATTTGTGGGGAACTCCCCGAATTGTGGGAAATTTCAACTAGATTGGGTATTTTGTGGGAATTGGCGCTATGTGAGGAAAATGTAGGGATTCTAACATTTTATTATTTTATTTAATCTATCAATTGCTGATGCATCGCTAGTTTGATAGTTACTGTTAGAAACTCTGTTATGGGCGATATCGACGTGTTTTTCAATATCGCACATCCCTTGTATTATTAACAAGCAGTTTAAATAGAATTATTATTAGAGCACTTGGTTCTGAATTGTAAAATTACCAGTTGGTGCGTGTTGAGTTCGCGATTCCTTCTCCCGCTTAGGCCGGTCCCCGGTATGAAGCAAAACGAAATCAGCTTTTTTTGATAAACAAAGCCGAGGAGTTGGTACTTCCACACCACTACTTACCACTCGCCAACATTAAATATTAAATATAGGTCGAAACTCATTGACTGTTTCTAACATTAACATAGTGTTACCAAATGCACAACAAATAATCAATTTACTTAATTTTGTTAGGCAAAGAAAAATGATTTTTTTTCAAACTGATTACAGATTAATGTTGAATCTAACTAAAATAAATAAACGGTTTAAGGTCATCTAATTTTATAATTAGTTTTACATTTTACATTCTGTTTACGTTCACAGCAAACGTAATAGATTATTACATTTTGAGTTTCTTAATTCTTTATTATATTTTAAGCGATGTATTTCTAATAAATAATAAAAAGTCGAGATTTAGGGAATTTGTGGGGAATATGAACTTTGCTCTCCCCAAATTTGGGGAGTTTAACCGTGATTTTTGGGGATTTTGAACAATTGGCATTGGCAACGCTGATTGTATCGAATGATGTGACTTAATATCCAAGGTTCACCACTTCCACCACATCTTTTAATATTCTTTACTTTATCCATTTTGCATGAACATTACAACGTCCAATAGAGTAACAACCCTAATTGTAGTATTTTTTAAATAAAATCTACTGAAGACGGTACAAACACTACAGAATGTCTATAAATTAAATATATCTAGAATAAACTTAAGAACACTAGTTTTTAGAGTATTAATAGCCTTTACTGGATGTGTATAGAACAATTTTACTAGAAATAATCAGTTGTTCTACAGATGAACTTAAAACATGGACTATAAGAGTAAATCTGAAGAAAGATTACACTTAAATAAGTTGTTTGGTATTAAGGTTTTAAAATTTTTAATTGAGTGAAATAAGTCTATAAGAACAATTTCTTTTTTTTAAAACCATTTATAGAGAATTATTATCTAAATCTATACCATATTAAGACTGTTTATAGATATAACAGTTTTAAGGCGTATAAAGTGTGCTCCTTGGGACTCTTTGTTTTGGTTATACGTTTTCGAAGACCAAAAAAAAAATGTAAGATTAATTTATACTTGCATAAAAGGAGAACACTTTATTTAGTTATATTTTTGGCAATTTGTTTGCTTTATTGCTAAGGAGCAAGTTATTATAAGAAGGGAAATATTTTAAATTTTTATTGAATTGATATTCAATTATTTTTTGTGAAATTACTCCACTAGTTTGTTGTAATTATTAATACAAAGATCGAACACTCAGAAAAAATTCCTTCGAATTTCAATTTCCGTAAAACACAGCGAATAGCGACGTCTCTCGCCAGGACTAGTAACTGTAAAGGTACTATCTGGGTGATAAATCTTTCATAGATTTCTCATAGATGGCGCTACGACTAAAAAGTCGTTGAAAAAACCAAATACAAAGACACAACGCAAGCACATACAAAAATTCGTGAGGTCCGCTGGTTCGTTCCGTGGCTTAGTTTGTATAGCGTCTGGCACGATAAGCTAGAAGACGTCTTGGTTCGAATCCGGCTGGATCGAAGGAATTTTTTCTGAGTGTTCGATTTTTGTATTAATAATTATAACAAACTAGAAGGGAAATAGTTTTACAACTCTATGTAGTTCACATAGAAATCAAAACAAAACAACAATAGAATACGTACGATAAATTTAATTATTACTATCTAGGAACATTTATTTTCGGATGCATTCGGAACCCCGAGTATTGCCGAAAGACGGAGAGATATTAAATAAATAATCTCAGTACAGAGTACTAAAAAACCGACCTCAAAAGTATGTGGAATTACGTCTATTTGCTTAGTTTTATTGAAATTATTATTAGTTCGCCACTATACAGGACTTGACACTGGAGATAATAATAATGGGTTCTCACTACAAAATTATATTGAAAGAAAAACGCCTTGAATTGGAGAAATAGCAAAATCAACCATTAAAATAATTGCTCCTAAATTAAAGTTAGGCACTATTTATAAAAATGAATCTTCATGCGTGAACAGCCACCCTTAAAGGTGTATGATTTTCTTCAAAATGAAATGGTGCCACTATGGAAGTACCCCCTTTCCAACAAAAAAAGAATCATGAAAATCGGTTCAGAAATACCGGAGTTATCGCGTAACACACATACAAAAAAAAACATACAGTCAAATTGAGAACCTCCTCCTTTTTTGAAGTCGGTTAAAAAATTTTAAATTAGTTGTACCTACTTGAAATGGATTAGCGAGTGGATAAATACATTTTCTCTACTACCATTTAAAATGTTTTGATGTTGTAGACTATGTTATAGACTAGTTTAAAATACGTAAGAGAGCGAACGGGGTTTTGTGGAACGTAAATGGAACTGTACAAGTTATTTGGGACCATTTCCATTTCTTTGCTGTATAATTCTTCGAAAACGTATTTCTACATTCAATTACGTGCCAGCACTTAGGAATAAACTCGAAAGTACTCGGAAATATTACAAGTTCTTCGTGAACAATGGTTTACTTCTGCGAGTTACAAAGCTAGCAACGTAATAGTTATTACTCACGGCAACTGCACAGCAGGCAAAGTACGTCTTGAAAGTCGAGCTTTCAATTTGCATTCAAAATAAAAAAATAATTAAAACGATTTCTAATTTTGTTGTCATAATTAATTTAAAAGCAAACTCTTGTTTGTTCAAACCGTCAGGTGATTTATTCATAATTCACCTTTAATCCAAATCGTATTGAGTTATTAATAAGGATGAGAAAACATTGACGAAAGAATCACTTCCACGGAATTCTATTCGCGGTTGTTAATACAAAGTTTTGATTACTTTCCTTTAACATTTCAATGGTTTTAATAGGCCTTCTTTGTCGCTGAGGAAGCCAATTGTTTAGGAGCGATTACCTGCACATGAATTTTGAAGAATTCATTACGAAATTGCGGTTTACTACCTTGGGTCATCCGTTGGGAATTTCTTTCAATTCTTTAATGGCCAACTTGCAAATTAGAATTTCTTAAGAGGTTACTGTTTTTGGCGTACAGTCGTATCACGTTGGTAGTTAAAAAAATATTAGTGTCGATCGATTTTT